TAAGTAGTTAAACAACGTTGTTTGCTTCTATCTTTTCTTTATTTTTTTTATTATTATCTTTACAATAAATGTGGCTTTTTGCCTTATCCCCCTCATAAGATCCTGCTTGCTTTTATTTGGTACAACAGCACCGCTCCTGTGCCGTGTGCCCAGGAGCCGGCAGTGCCCACGCGCCGTGCACCTGGGGCCAGTGCTGCTCCTGTGCCGCGTGCCCCGGGGCTGGCACAGCCCATATGCCACGCTCCCGGGGCTGGCACAACCCATGCACCGCGTGCCCGGGGGCGGGGCGGCCCATGTGCTACAATAAATGTGGCTTTTTGCCTTATCCCCCTCATAAGATCCTGCTTGCTTTTATTTGGTACAACAGCACCGCTCCTGTGCCGTGTGCCCAGGAGCCGGCAGTGCCCACGCGCCGTGCACCTGGGGCCAGTGCTGCTCCTGTGCCGCGTGCCCCGGGGCTGGCACAGCCCATACGCCACGCTCTCGGAGCTGGCACAACCCATGCACCGCGTGCCCGGGGGCGGGGCGGCCCATGTGCTGCATGCCTGGGGGCGGGGGCGGGGCCGGCCCCGATCAGTCGGCGGGCGCACAGAAATGGCCCGGTGGGCGCCATGTCACCCGCGGGCACTGCGTTGGGGATCACTGGCTTAATCTTTTCTCCTTAACCTCTGAGGATAGGACAAAAAGCAATGAGTTTAAATTTCAGCCATGGTAGTTTAGTTTGGATTTTGGAAAAAACTTTCTTGCAGAGTAGTTAAGCCCTGGAATAAATTGTCTCAATCATTGGAGACTTTTAGGAGCAGGTTTGACAAAAACCTATCAGGGATGGTCTATATAATACTTAGTCCTGCTGTGAGTGAAGACTAGATGACTTCTCGATGTCCCTTCCAGTCCTGTGATTCTATGACCAAGTTGAGTATTTGGTTGAAATAGTTTTGACATAAGGAATAAATTGGGACATGGTTAAAGAAAAGTATGAGATGCAAAGAATTGGTACTTGGCTATTGGTGTTTTTTAATTTTTGTTGTTGTAACTAACATGAACTACACTCTTTTGCGTAACAAATGAGTTGGTAAAGACTTGTGCTATGCTAAAATATGCATCTGCTAACACACACCAAAAAACTCTGTGTGTGTGTGTGTGAGAGAGAGAGAGAGAGAGAGAGAGAAGCTTTATGAAGACCTAACAAGAAAATGCATTTAAGTACCAAGAGACTTGCTCAATTGTTCAGGCAAATATCATTATAGGCTAAAATTGCAACTGCAAATAGTCAGTTTATGTGCACATCGTGGTAATTGCATGTTCAGTAATTTCATGTGTAAGGATAAACCCAAAACTAATAACCTAATAAAGTGATTGTGTCACTTCTAATGGTTGCTGAAACACTCTGAAAAGGGAAAAAAAACCTAACAAGAAAATATTCAAAACAAATCAGTCAAAATAATTACACATGTCAATGTTCTTACAGTCTGAACTTGCTGTCTGTTTAGAGGGTCAAAATAATATGGACACAATTATGTACTTAATTTATGTTTTTAATATGACACTGATTCAAACTCTTCTTTTTTCCTCTAGGAATTGTGGTACTTGGATTAAACAGATCTCATGCCAAAAATGCACTTAATAAAAATCTTATAAAAATGGTAAGGGAAAAACTAACTGCTACTAATTTGAAGGCAGTGTATCAGAATTAAATATTTGATTTTTTTTCCCCCCTCACCCTTCTTTTTCTGTAGATGTCAAAAGCTATGGATGCTCTGAAATCTGATAAGAAAGTACGGACTGTTATATTCCGAAGTGAAGTCCCAGGGATATTCTGTGCTGGTATGCAAACTAATTTTACTATGAGTTTGGAAATTTGTAATCTAGCACTGTGGTAGAAACGGCTCATATTCCAGGGAGCATTGTACTTTGTCACATTCATCTTAGTTGTAAGCATAGCCTTGTCACATGACATTCCTCAATTTTTAGTGTCTGCATCGCTCTGTGTTCTTCTTTTTGCATCATAAAGAACATTTTACAATATGTAGTAGATATTTTTTAAAATAGTTGATGAATGCATTCTGTTGAACTTTTAAAAGATTTGCTTATACTGTACTCTGGAATGAGAGTCTAATATTGCCAAGTGGCTAGAGCATGAATGGTAAATAGACAAGAAAATTGACTTCACTTTCAGTTTGGAGGTATAGAATCCATTATAAAGACTTGTGAAATTAAGCAAGCTATATTGCATTAAAAATAGCAGACTTTTAACTGGCTGTTCCCTTAAACATTAGTAATTTATTAAAGAATATGATCCTGTGCCTTCTAGGGATGTAAAATCCTGTTTAATTGGTTAACCAGTTAGGTGATTAAAGAAGTGGGCAGGTGGCGGGGGCCCTCCTGCTCATTGCTGGGCTGGAGCAGCGCCCCTCACCCTGCCTTGGGCATGGACTGCTCCAGCCCACCCAGAGCAGTTCCTGCCTTTGCCCCCGGCCCCCCTCCTCTGCAGGCAGGGTCTGCATTGGCCAGATTGGAGCAGCCCCTGCCTGTCGGGTGATTGGGTCCACCGCGGCTAGAAGCTGCTCTGGCCAGAATGCTGGAGAAGCCCCCAGCTGTGGGCTGCCTGGGCCTACTGCGGACCTATGTTGCTCTGGTTGGGACACTGGAGTATCCCCTGCCTCTGGCAGGCCTGGATACCCAGTAGGAGGGGGCTGCTCTAACCTCCTGACTGGAGCATCCCCTGCCTGCTGGGTGCTTGGGCCTGCTGCAGGCAGGGGCTGCTCTAGCCTGGCTGGAGCAGCCTCTGTCTGCAGCAGGTTCCCCGCGGGACTGGAGCAGTCCATTGCCTGTGGCAGGTGGAGAGTTGCTTCAGCCCCCATCAGTTAACCAGTAAGCCTTACCCATTAACTGGTTGAACATTCACATCTCTATTGCCTTTATCAAAATGTGTGGGATATGTTATTTGGGTGTGTGAAGCCATTAGGTGGGATTTCAAAAGCATATTTATCTTCAGTGACATATTTACTGGCTATCTTGAGAGTTATGATATGAGAAACAGTTCAAAAGTAACAGTTGTCTAACTCAGTGACGTATCTGGGGCTTTTCCTGCAAGTAACAGTTGTCTTACTCCCAGGAAAAGCCCCAGATACGTCACTGAGTTAATGTACTGTAGCTCCACGAATATGTGTTTATTAGCTGTGCTAGTACCCCTGCAAGTTTAGAGAGCTGCATTGATCTCTGTGTTTTGAAGAGGCTTAGTGTTTGTTGTCCTTGTTGGGAAAGTCGGTCATTGATTACAGTGGAGAGCAAACGGGGGTAAGTTCTTTTCAGAATAGTGAGACCACTGTAGGTTACACTGATGTTCTGTTTGGGTCAGAACCAAGGAGAGGTGAGCTAAGCTACCTTACACTTCATTCAAGTCTCTGGTCACTTTTTCTGCAATAACTATAGGAAATGAGGCAGTGCTTTTGTATATACAACTACCAGAACCACCACCATGTACTCATTTAAAAGGTGAGAAATCCAAGCGATGTCATTGCTGTAACCCTAATCCTTCATGACTCACTTCCCTCTTCTTACAGCAGGGTGAGCAAATTATGGCCCATTGGCTGCATCCCTCAAGGCTTTTAATCCCATCTGCAGGATTGCTAGTTTGGTGGCACCGTGGGGCTAAGGCAGATTCCCTGATTACTGTGGCTCCACACCACTCTCAGAAGCATTTGACATCTGCCTGCAGCTCATAGGGGTATGGGCAGAGCAGAGAGTCTCTGCATGCTGCCCCTGCCTACAAGCACCAGTTCCCTCCCTCCCCCCCTCTCCCATTGGCCAGGAATAGGAACTGTGGCCAGTGGGGGCGGTGCCTGCAGATAGCAGAAGTGCGGCACTACATGTCCACTCCAACTCAGCCCTTCCTTTCCCCCAGGAGCCACTCCTGGACATCATGTCCGTTTCCCAGAGCCATGAGGGGTGAAGGCAGACAAGGAGATGGCCTTAACCCTGCTGTGCTCCCACTCCCAAGATAAACAGTGTCAGATCAGAGCCTGCACTCAACCTCCTATCCCCACCCTACATTCATGGTTCCATATACAATTTTCCTACCTAGATGTGGCGCTTGGGCCAAAAAGTTTGACCATCTCTGCCTTTTATTGTTCACTCCACTATCTGTGTGAAGTGTTAAGTTCAGATTGTGAGCTCTTCAGGACAGGGATCATGTATTTCTATAAAGTAAATAGCATATCCTTAGGTGTTATAAAATATCTAAAGAGAAGCAATACTTATATTCCTGTTGATCCATACCTAAATTGCTACTGTTCATTTTATTTTAGTGCAGGTAATGTGCCAATAGTAGTCTCTCAACTCAATTTTTAAAACTATATGAACAGTCCTAAGTCTATGTTGATAAGTGAATAATCTCAGAAATATGGCAACTCTTCTTTGTTGCTTTCAACCTCACAAAAACATCCAAAATTAAAATTATGGAGACTTACATTTTTAGGAAAGCCATGGATAAGTTATTGGTGCCCTGAAGGGCTAACTAATTTGGGCTAGAGATGGAGCTTAGATTCTAACATTTCAGAAACATCAGTGAGATGTCCTTCTCCTCGCCATGCAATATTGTCAATTGATTTATCCCACTTGGTTGTTGACTGTTGAATAATAAAAAAAAAGTATAAGACGATATCATCCTGTTCTCACTCACTCTTTGAAATAGATGTCCCAAATCAAACAGAGTTAAAGGTGATAAACCTCAAGTCACCCTTTGGAAGTAGTTTGAAAGAAAGTACAGCCTATGTTATTTGAAAAAAATGTACTGGCTAAAAACTGATTATCTTTCAAAGATAATGTCAAGTAAAAAGCATTACATATAATACAGCACAGAGGTGAGAAAGGATACAAAGAACTGTAGCTAGGTCTGCGTTCCAGGAAAAAGATCATGTGATATGAGCGAGGCTTCCTGCACCATTGTTGTCTGACTATAAAGAAACTGCTAAAGATCTAATAACCATCATTTCTAAACTGGAGTAATGTAATAGAGGTGTATATAATCAATCCCCCAGTAATTTTGTTTATTCTTCAGTGGTATCCACGTGGGTGCTCCACTTGAGGTGTTGTGTTCGTCCCGGCGCTGGGACGAGCCCGACACCTCAAGTGGAGCACCCACGGGGGGGACACACCTTGAAAAAACGTTGTTACTGCACAGGGTGAGTAACTTCCTCTTATCTTTAGATTTGTTAGGACCTGGATTTACACTTATTTATGATTCATATCAGCTTCCTTATTTCTGTTCAGTAGCTTAAGATAATCTCAGATGTCACTTTTGATATAGGTGGGGCTGACAGCACAACCTATTCAAATTGCACCACTTTTCATTAGAAGATCTTGTTTTCAGGTGCTTCTAACTTTGCCAAATTGTAACTTGGAGGTTTGATTGCTTAAAAAAAAAAAGTGAAAATATTTCAGCTATTTATGAGAAAAAGGCTAGAGTGTTTTTTTTTTTTTTAAAGCCTATGTTTTAATTCTGGTGGCCTTTTCCTGGAAAGGTCTGCCCTCCCCCTATGCTTTGCAATGAGCATAAGAATGGCCATACTGGGTAACACCAAAGGTCCATCTAGCCCAATATCCTGTCTTCCATCAGTGGCCAATGCCAGATGCCCCAGAGGGAGTGAACAGAACAGGTTATAGTCATGTGATCCTTCTCCTGTCATCCATTTCCAGCCTCTGAAAAACAGAGGCTAAGGACACCATTTCTACCCATCCTGGCTAGTAGCCATTGACGGACCTAACCTCCATGAATTTATCTAGCTCTTTTTTGAACCCCGTTGAGGTCCTAGTCTTCACAACATCCTCTGACAAGGAGTTCTACAGGTTGACTATGCACTGCATGAAGAAAAACTTTCTTTAGTTTTTTTTTTTAAACCTGCTATCTATTTATTTCATTTGGTGACCCCTAGTTCTTTTATTATGGGAACAAGTAAATAACTTTTCCTTGTTCACTTTTTTCCACACCAGTCATGATTTTATAGACCTGTATCATATCCCCTTTTAGTTTCCTCTTTTCTAAGATGAAAAGTCCAAGTCTTTTTAATCTCTCTTTATATGGGACCCATTCCAAACCCTAAGCATTTTTGTTGCCCTTCCCTGAACCTTTTCCAATGCCAATATATCTTTTTTGAGATGAGGTGATCACATCTGTACACAGTATTCAAGATGTGAGCATGCCATGGTTTTATATAGAGGCAATAAGATATTCTCCGTCGTCTTCTCTATCCCTTTTTAAACGATTCCTAATATTGTTTGCTTTTTCGACTGCACTGCACACTGAGTGGATGTTTTCAGAGAACTATCTACAATGACTACAAGATCTCTCAAATAGTTATAGCTAAATTAGTTCCCATCATATTGTATGTATAACTGGGATTATTTTTTCCAGCGTGAGTTACTATACATTTATCAACATTAAATTTCATTTGCCATTTTGTTGCCCAATCACTTAGTTTGGTGAGATTTATTTTTGAAGCTCTTCAGTCTGCTTTGGTCTTAACTAGAGCAGTTGAGTGTCATCTGCAAATTTTGCTACCTCACTATTTACCTCTTTCTCCAGATCATTTATAAATAGGTTGAGTAGGATTGGTCCCAGTAGGGACCCTTTGAGGACACTACTAGTTATCTTTCTCCATTCTGAAAACTTACCATTTATTCCTATCCTTTGTTTCCTGTCTTTTAACCAGTTACCAATCCATGAGAGGACCTTCCCTCTTATCCCATGACAGCTTACTTTAATTAAGAGCCTTTGGTGAGGGACTTTGTCAAAGACTTTTTGGAAATCTAAGTATATTATAGCC